TTAATGGCGCGTTCAAACATCACGATTCGCTTTTCTTTTGCAGTCGTGGCAGTGTTTTGGGTGATAACCCATAGATCACGCAAGTGCTGCTTAAACGGACCCATAAGAGAAACATCCAATGGCTGGCAGTGCGATGTGCTGTTTGGAGGAAGTGCGCAAATTTCACTACCCAACTCGTCACCCACAATGCGTTCGCTCTCATCCGTAACGTGGGAGTCAAAGTTGTCAACCAAAAGAACCGAGTGGTTCTCAATAATGGGGGCAAGCACATCCCGCAGATAGTACCTCCATACATCACCGTTCATCCACGCCTTGTTCTGCATCGCGTAGAAGTGACCTGGAGGGTACTCGTTAAACTCGTTCGTCTCAATAACACCGCCAGGCTCGCCTCGGATGACAAAAAGGATCGGCAATTTGAGACCATCGGCACGGACCGTCAACAACGCGGTCATCCGGTACGAGTGGGTCTCCGAATTGGCAACGTAGGAGCCGCCACCACGAACGGCCCATATCGAGCTTGGGCACATGTCAAAGTAGATGCCAGTTTAATCCGCATTGTACAGGCAATCCGGCGACAAGTCCGGGTAGGTGTCGTGGAACAGCTGGTCGAAGAGGAAGCAGGTGGACTCCAGGTCTTCTTGTGTCTTCTTCTGAGGACAAACTCGCTGTTTCGAGAAACCATGGCGGTCCGCAAACCGCTGCAGCAACCGGAGCAGCGACTTGTAGCCCTCTTTGCGTGTTGCCATGTAGTTGACGATCCACTCCATGTTGTCTTCGCGCAGGAACTGCATGATGTGTGACGATGTGACGGCGAGCTCGTGGCGTCGAAGGTCCTTCATGTACGTCACCAGCGCATAGCAGCCGGGAGGATCGGTTTCGCACCACAGTTACCGGTGTTCTTCTTTCGTGTCTTCGAGCCTTCGAAGGAAGCCAGCTTCGACTGCTCCTGTACGTGGGTGGCCACAGTCGTACGGTACGCTCCGCGTATCCGAGCTGGCGGGCAGCCTCGCGCACGCCTGTAGCCTGGGCAGTGACTACAGCCTGCAGCGTTTGGGCAATGAACGGCCTTGGACGATGCTGGCTGCCCTTGGGTTCCATTGGTGACACCTGGTCTAGCAGGGAATCGATTTGTGGAGCTGCCAGGCAATCAACTTTCATTCAAACTTGCCGCGAAATATATTTACCAATCATAAATCAGTTCGTGAAATAGAGTTACTTGATTGGCTAATTCAAAAATTAATTGTGCCAATTTCCCGCGGCACTATTCAGCGTCGTTCCCTGTACCACTCTGGACGAAAATAGTAAAAGAGCGTGTTCCAAGTAGTTTTCAAAATGGGCATGATCAAATCAAAACGCTCCCCAACTCATTCCATTTTGGGCACCTCAGCAATTTCCCCAATGACTGGTTAAGGCACTGGTCGGTGCGCTGGAAGTAATACGAGCCTACGATGACGCGAAAGTCGCGTGCTTTCGCATTTCCTACTGATACGTGGAGCTTCAATACAGTATAGAGGTTAAGCGTACTGCCAACATCGTCGTGATGCCACTGGCATAAGAGAGAAAACTAGGTCACCAGTGTCATCATGAAAATGTTGAAAGTACCGGTCAATGAGTCGTCTTCGGGGATGCCCTGCTCGACCTTGCCAACGAGACCGGCGCCGACGTCGGCGGCCTTGGTGTATATAACCCGCCCAATTGCATGAACAGCGCCATGACCGACGAGCCGAAGCATGGGGATTTCCGTGGCACTCATGACGGGCGTGAACGAGGCATTCAGCAGCACGTGTTGAATGCTCACGCCCGCCACGAACAACGTGATGTCGACGACGGCGGAAAACTCACCGCCGCGGAAGAAGTTGAGCAGCGCCTCGCCGTACGAACGATGCGCGGCGTTCTCCTCCATCAAGGTGTGCCTTCGTTGGCCATCAGTGTAAATTGAGTGGGAATTATTAAACGATTGCATGCTGTACTGTATTTGACTATGTATGGAGGCTGCGGGAAATTGTCAACTTGACAATCCTCAAGCGATATCGCAGTACGTTGTTCATCATCACCATACAACGCACTAGAGTTAAATCGAGTTTAGCCTGAGGAAGAAAGCAACGTGCACTGCTTTAATTGCCATTTTGAAGGATTGGCATCGCCCCTCAATCGATTGCGCTGAGTTGCTAGACTCCACACAAAACGGTTGCATAACTGTTAAAAATATGACATTTAAATGTTAGAAAATTATAACATAACATATCAAAGTATGCTATAAATTATACTATCTGGTCCAAAGCTGTCGTGTTGCATATTTTCGAAGGTGCAGTTTTGTTTGACTTGTAATTTGTATACTTAATATATATCATTTAGCCACTTGTATGTACATGTTAAGTGTATTCTATACAAACCACAATAAGATTAAAGTATATTTAATCTGAAAATATCAAGTGACATCAACCACAAGAAGTAAATCGGAAGGTAAAGGCCACCGTTCGCGGAATACAGTGCCGTAACTTGTTCAAATGGCTAGAACTAGGCATCGCTTAGCCTCAGGTGCGATTTCGTCGTCGACAGACGTCTACCGAAGGTGCTACGGTCACGTATGGCATTTGGTGTCTTTTGAGCATGTTTGATCGATAAATACAACAACATAGAAGCGAGAGAGCCTTGTTAGTGCTTCAAGGGCAATACAACAACCACATGAACAAGTGGGCGAGATGGGGAAGTTTAAAGTTAAGATTTGATTATCTGTCGAGTGATTGAATATTTTGCCAATTTGAAGGCCATTTTTCAAGTTCGATAACTTCGCCAAGAGTGTGAATTTTGCCCAGTTTGAAGTATCCAATCAAAGAGGAGATCTTCAGCTTGCATTTACACCAATCAAATACGAGAACCAATACGTTTAGGGCAAAGTACTTCATTTGAAGTCTAACATGACAACTATTTTGGACCAGAGCGGTAGTATATATTTCGTCCCATTCTATGACCATGATTGATTGGCATAAATCATTAGACTGAGATGCATGCTGATTGGTCAATAACACAGTATTGTTGGCTATGCGTAAAATGGTGTGGCGGGTGCAGCAGCACAGGTGGCGCGTGGACCATCCATCTTACCGGTATGTGCCATCGAACTTGACTTGCTGCCACGTGGTACTGGGTACGACAACAGTGTTGATGGCAGGGGCGCAGTTGCTTCGTCCGTCGACCGACATGAGGGAGGCACCAACGGCAGCAACGACAGCAACACACACAGAAGTGGTCGAGTCTATGATGTCAAATTGAAAAGTTGGGATGAGATTGTGATCCATGATATGATAGTGGGCATCCATTATTAGGCCCTGGTCGGGGAAAAACCCTGGACGATTATTCACCCCCTGAACGGCTTATTATCCAGCTCAATTTATCCGAATTATGACTGGGGATTTTCTCGTGGCCGGGAAGTCGTCCCACGGCAATGAAGTGACGTGCGGATGATACGTGGTATACATTGTAGCGCCTATTTGAGGTACCATATACCACCATCACATACCACCGCTGCTTCGCTGCTATCAGCTTAGAGCATCTCCACTCGTCAGACTTAACAGTCTGATTTATACGGATAACCCTTAGATAGGACCAATTTTGGAGTTATACTCCCACCCGTTGGTTTTATGGGGGTCCTCAATAAGTCCAAACATAAGTTCGGCCCCTATCATAGGGCTAGATATCACCCTCCAGACCTATCTATCCGGAAGAGTTATATAATCTAAAATAACACTACGTAGTATACAAAAGTACTGGAGTGTAGCACTGCGGGAGGAAGCGTGTGTAGTTGAGGGCAAAATGCACAATGAATTAACTGAAGATCTACAAAGATCTCCTTAATCCTCATCACTATGAAATCTTCTTAATCTACTTCACTACTTCTACACTAATATGCACTTTTGTATACAATGAATGCGGGTGCGGTTGAGACATTGGGGAACTTCACTAGGCTAGCGATTCTAAGCCATACTTGCACTTGAGACACATTCCCAGGCAAGCATTACCAAGGGTGCGTCATGAGCCAGGTACTTAGGAGCTGGGTGCGGGCAAGGTGGTGGCAAGCCGTTAACCCACCTGTCACATCGCTACATTCTCCCCCTGACGTCTTGCTACACCTTGAAACGCCTTGACTCCAAGTCTTGGACGAGTTGCTTGAAGTGCACAACATGCGTGATGTCCTTCATCAGTTCCCACGTGGCTTGGCTTTCGGGCTGTCCATGCCACTTGACCAAGTACTCCAATTTGCGATTGAACTGGCGCTTCTTGAGCAGTTTCTCGACAATGTACATTTCTTCGCCGGTGGATTCGTCTAGAATAACAGGAGTACCTTTTGGGATAGGCCGGGAGGCAAACTTGGCTTCGTTGGAGTGATAGTGCTTAAGTCGATCGACGTTGAACACGTCATGAACACGTGACATCGAGCGAGGCAACTTGAGGCGCATGACGTTGTCGTTAATGGCTTGGACAATCTCAAATGGACCGAAGAATCGTGGAACCAACTTGGGACGCTCGGACTTATCGAGCATCTGGGCATGCTTTAAAGGCAGGTTGCGAGTCGCTAGCTGTACTTGATCGCCTTCCTTGAACGTCACGTTCGAACGTCGCTTGTCATAATACTCCTTCTGACGTTGTTGGGCCTTCGTCAAATTCTCGTGCGCCATCCGAATGACTTCTTTGCGATGTTCTGCAAAATTCTTGGCAAAGTCATTTTTGGGCAAGGAGCTGCTCACGGCAGGGTTGCGCAACTTGCGGCCTGTGTCGACTTCGAACGGTGTTAAGCCGGTTGATGTTTGTACTAAGCCTTGGTGGGCCTACTCAATCGTTGGCAAATGGTCGACCCAGTCTTGTCCTAGATACGACACTTGGCATGTAAGCGTATCTTCGAGAGTTCGATTCTGGCGCTAAGTCGCTCCATCGGCTTGAGCTCAGCCGGCGGTGGTCAAGGCTTGGCGGATACCCATAATCTCCATGAGGGACTTCCAATACGTGCTTGTAAACTTGGGGTTACGGTCACTGATGATCATTGCTGGTAGTCCATGGTGACGGACAAGACAAGACAACATGTTCGAAGAATTCTTTCGCCGTTTGGGGTGCGTCGACATCTGATCTCGTCGGAATGTACTTTGGCCGCTTGGATAGCTTGTCTACGACTACCAAAATAGCATCATAGCCTTTTGACACGGGCAAACCGGTGATCCAATCCGCTGAAACAGTTTGCCAACACTCTTCCGGCGCGGGAATGGGAATCATCCTCCCATTTGCACGCAGACTGCTCGTCTTGTATCGACTGCATGTTTCGCAAGTCGCGACGTATAACTTCACGTCTTCGGCAAGAGTGTTCCAGTAATACCACTGCGCTACACTTAAAACATTGTGCGTCGAGTTCCAGGATGCGCGACAGTGCTTGAATCGTGCGCGTGAGATAAAATCTCGGCGCGTAACAACTTCCAAACTTGGTCTTGACTTCGGAGAAAGCAGAGTCCTTCCTTCCGCTTGAAGTCTTCACCTTTCATGGACTTTGTCCCTGCGTCCTTTGCGTAAGCCTTCACAAAACGTTCCTTGGTTTTGGTGTCCATCTCGATGGTGCTAAAGGACACTTGCTTCGAGTGGTTCACCGTTAGGCGTTGAGGCACTAACACTCCTTTTTGCTCCTCCAACTCCTCCCCCCAAAAAGGAGAGTCGACAATGACGGCGATGTCACGAGTCGTGTAGGTGGAGAGAGCCGAGGCATGGACAAGAAGTCGATTGATGCGCGCGGCGACTGAGGCACAGTGGATACCACACGCGTGGATTAAGAGGTGGTGAACGGTGGA